TTGTGAAAGCAATTGGCAGCCCATCTATAGATAAAGTGTAAGCTCTATCAAAGCTAGAAGTTATTGGTTTGTGGTTGGTATTTTTGGTCTCACTCTCATTTTGTAAAATTTTGCCTACTGAAAGCTCCTGGTTACTTGAAAACTTGCAATGTTTTGTGCCTTTGATTGGGAAAACAAAGATATTATCCCAATATGCAGTTTGCGTTTTGTTCTTTTGCTGCCTATTTATTTAAAATGTCTGCCAAAACAGGATTTAAGGTAGCTTATAATAACTAATATACTTCATCAATATATTATTAATATATAATACCATTATATATTTATTATCTATATAAATTAAAATGTAATGTTTGTTTGTGGTATTCACAGAACTCAAAAACCACTGGGGCAATTGGCACCAAATTTGGACACGATACACCTAACAACCCAATGTATGTCCTTCACTCATAAAAACACTGAAAAACACAGCAGAAGGGACTTAAAAAGCCCCCAAAAGCTAAATGACGAAAAGCTAAATGACAATACAGAAAAAAGGGAAGAAAGTGGAGGGAAGGTGAGAAAAGAAAGAAAGAAAAGAGGGGAAAAGAAAGAAGAAAGAAGGAAAGGAGAAGATGGAGAGAAAGAGGGAGGGAAGGAAAGAAGGAAAGAGAGAAGGAAGAAAAGAGAGACAGCAGAAGAGAAAGAAAAAGGGGAAGGAAGGAAAGTTAGAGAAGGAAGGAAGGAGAGAAGGAAAGAAAAAAGGGAAAGGAAGGAAGGAAAGAGGGAGTAAAGGAAGGGGGGAATGTAGAGAAAGAGGGAGGGAAGGAAAGAAGGAAAGAGAGAAGGAAGAATAGAGAGACAGCAGAAGAGAAAGAAAGGGGGAGAATAAAGGAAAAAGAGAAGGAAGAAGAGAAGGAAAGACGGGAAGGAAGGAAGGAAAGAGGGAGGGAAGGAAGGAGGGAAAAGGAGAGAAAGAGGGAAGGTTGGCCACAGCAAAGCGTGGAGGGTACAGCTAGTATATAATATATAGCACAGTGGGTTAAACCGCCAACTACAGAAAATCTTGCAGACTGGAAGGTTAGCACTTCAAGCCAGGGGTGGGGTGAGCTCCTGTCGTCAGCCCTAGCTCTTCTGCTTGCCTAGCAGTTCAAAAACAGCAATGTTGTTGATAAATAGGTACCACTTTTGTGGGGAGGTAAAAGGCACTCCTGAAGACATGCTGGCAAGGCGTTCAAGGACAACAGACTCCTTGGCATGGAAAAATGGAACAGCATCTCCCCACAGCCTCCAGATGCCAGAAATGAAAAAAGAGGGAAGCTTTGCCTCTATGTACTGTCTTGTCTTTGTTAGTTTATATAACAGCATTGAATGTTTGCCATCAATTTACTTTTGTAATGTGCTTTGAGTCCCCTCGGAGAGATAGAACAGAATATAAATAAAGTATATTATAATATTATTATTAAAATAATTTAAAAGTATGGTATACTTTAAAAAGAACCCAAACCCTAAAAAACCTTAAACACTGTTTTCTTTAGTCCCTTTTGAACTGTAAAGTCTTTGTAATGAAATACCCCATTGCAAATTTTGTGGTTTTCATGACAAATCATCTTCACACATTAAAAAAATGGTATAACAGAGAGAAAGCTTGAATTCTTGCCCTAACATCTGCTCTTCAGTGTGAAAGGTACTTGCTGCAGTGATGAGCTATGACCATATAGAAACTGAGCAAACTATTTAAAGCTGTTTGTGAGAATAAGGCTTCTCTATATGCACAGGCAATTCCCAATTAAAGAGAGGTGTTCCTGCAACCATTGTAATAAAAAGGGACCTGTATAAACACGACAAATGGTCCCACCCATTTTGTTGTAATTGGGCCGAGCCTTGAGTACTCGTATCCTGTAACATATAAGTGTATTTTCAAACTTAATGAAGATTTTTTCCAACTGTTTTTAATTCTGGGATTCCTCAATGAGAATATAATTAGCAGCAAGCAATTTCTTTTTAGACAGTTTGGGCTCAATTATGTTTCTCCCCTCAATATGAAGTCACCAACTAGAGTTAGATGTAGACAAATCTACATAAAGCAATAATGAGTTACAATAGTCCTGAGCAATCTTTGAAAGTGTCTCCTAAAATATGCTGTAGGATCCTTGCAGCATGTGTTTCTTCTGCAATCCGTCACTCTAAATATGGAAAAGTATCCTCAAGGTAGACATATAAAAGAATTTGCAGTGCTATATATAGGGTTTCCATGGTTCTGACTGCTTGTTCTAACAGAGGTGCTCTGCTTTAGGGATGTAAAGTTTTACCTCTCCACTGCTTAATGGCTTTTCCTGAGTTTCCTTTCTTCTAGCACCATCTGGAGGTTCAACTAAGAATTTGCAAGGATTAAAAAAAACTATGGTGTTATTCAACAGATTCCACTGAATTTACTAACTAAATCAGTGGTTCTCAGCCTTCCAAATGCCGCGACTCCTTAATACAGTTCATATTGTGGTGACCCCCAACCATAAAATGATTTTCAATGCTACTTCATAACTCTAATTTTGCTACTGTTATGAATTGTAATGCAAATATCTGATATGCAGGATGAATTTTCATTCACTGGACCAAATTTGGCACAAATAGCCGATATGCCCAAATCTGAATACTGGTGGGATTGGGGGATTGATTTTGTCATTTGGGAGTTGTAGTTGCTGGGATTTATAGTTAACGAGCATTTTGAACTCCACCAACGATGGAATTGAACCAACTTGGCACACAGAACTCCCATGACCAACAGAAAATACTGGAAGGGTTTGGTGGCATTGATCTTGAGTTTGGGAGTTGTAGTTCACCTACATCCAGAGAGCACTGTGTATTCAAACAATGATTGATCTGGACCAAACTTGGCACGGATACTCAATATGCCCAAATGTGAACACTGGTGGAGTTTGGGGAAAATAGACCTTGACATTTGGGAGTTGTAGTTGCTGGGATTTATAGTTCTCCAACAATCAAAGAGCATTCTGAACCCCACCAATGATAAAATTGGGCCAACCTTCCCACACGGAACCCCCATGACCAACAGAAAATACTGTGTTTTCTGATGGTCTTTGGTGACCCCTCTGACACCCTCTCATGACCCCCAGGGTGAGAAATGCTGAACTAAATGGTTTTATAAAGTAAGCCAAGCATGAGAGTGAATGTAAGCACCCGTCCTCAAAAGGTCCATTAGTATATCAGCAATTATTCCTGTTCAAGTTACGCAAAGCCAATCAGGTGTCGTACTTTTCAAGCTTCAAGGTCCTTTTAGGGGTGTTAAGATCATTTTCAACAAGGGCCACGTCAGCCTTATGGTTGCCTTCAAAGGGCTGATGAATCCATGGACACAGAATCCGTGGATGAAGAAAGCCAACTATAAATGTTTACATCATAGTTGGTGCTCTTTAATTTTTACCCAATTTGGGTCCCCAGGTGTTATTGGGGGATAACTTCCATCACTTTCTGATTATCTGCCATACCAACTTGAGGATAATGGGAATTGCAAACCAACAGCACTTATGGCTCTGTGGTTGGGAAAGGTTAAATGACATTTTAAAGTCAGACATCATATTCACAAACCTTGTATCTAAATCAAAACCCCTCTTCTGACTAAACAAAATAAATTACAGCCTTCCAGATGTTACTGCAACTCCCATTAGCTCAGTGTTTCTCAACCTAGGGGTCGGGACCCCTGGAGGGGTCGCGAGGGGGGTTGCCAAAGACCATCAGAAAACATGTATTTCCGATGGTCTTAGGAACCCTTTGGCAGAGGCGGCCGAAAATCTCTCCGCCTGTCCTTCTCTACCTTTTTGGTGTTGGTGAACTACAACTCCCAGAATTCAAAAACATCCCCCCAACCCCATCAGTATTCAATGTTGGCCATGTAGGTAGTGTGCCAAGTTTGATGCAGATTCATCATGGACTGGGTTCAGAGTGTTCTTTTATTGTAGGTTAACTATAAATCCCAGCAACTACAACTCCCAAATGTCAAGATCTATTTTCCTCAGTGTTCACATTTGGGCATATTAAGTATTCGTGACAAGTTTGGTCCAGATCCATCATTGTTTGAGTCCACGGTGCTCTCTGGATGTAGGTGACCCACAACTCCCAAACTCATGCCCACAAAGCCCTTCCAGTATTTTCTGTTGGTCATGGGAATTCTGTGTGCCAAGTTGGTTCAATTCCATCATTGGTGGAGTTCAGAATGCTTTTTGGTTGAAGGTGAATCCCAGCAACTATAACTACCAAATGACAAAATCAATCCCCCTCCAATCCCTCTAGTATTCAAATTTGGGCGTATTGGGTATTTATGCCAAATTTGGTCCAGTGAATGAAAATACATCCTGCATATCAATATGTACATGATGGTTCAAAACAGGAGCAACATTACAGTTATGAAGTAGCAACGAAAACTATTTTGTGGTTGGGGGGGGGGGGCTTACCCCAACATGAGGAATTGTAGGGTTGCTGTATTAGGAAGGTTGAGAAACACTGCATTAGCTCTAGTTATGAAGCTTAATGATGAGGAAGACAGGAGTTATAATCCAGCATCGCGGGGGGGGGGGGGGGGGGGGGGGCACATAAAAGGACATGGCGGGCTGCATTTAGCCCGTGGGTTTAGCGTTTGACACGTGATCTATTTGATCAGTTGAGTACTAAAGCTGCAGTTGATTAATATGGTATCCAACTTTAATGACAGCTTCATAATTATTAAGTATGCTCTTAGCCACTTTATTTTTGGTGAGTTATTATAAGACAGGGAAGTCATTCCATATAACAACACTACAAATTCTTTGAAAATCAAACTCTAATTTAAAGTTCAAAATTTGAGGGACTCTGTATTTTGGAAACTTCTTACTCTTCTTTCCTACCTAGTTAAGTCTCCGAACCAATTTGAAATAAAGTCCTATTGCTTTGTTTTAAAAACAAAGTCATACTTTGGTGAAATGTTACATACTTTCGATGGAAAACAAAATACACAGTACATCACCACAGAATAGGAGTGCCTACTCAACATTTAATGTGCTTTGAATACGATTGCTTGAGAAAGTCAGTGACTGTTAATACATAGTACATTCATTATACTCAATATTTCCTACCTAGATTTTTGCATACTAATAAGTATATGCCCTGTAGGCTTTCTCTTGTGCCACTGCTGAATCTAGCTGTACTTGATTAACCCATTCCATAGAAATTACCATCAGGACTGCGGATTTGCTTTTAGTGTAAATCAAGCTTAAAGGTTTCTAACCTTCCGGAAATGGAGGCTAAGTAGGCTATGTACTATGCAATGCAAGCAGCAAACAATAAACCAAGATTTGGTCAAGACTGCACACTACATTTAAAACAGGTTGTGCATTCATCTCATTACTAAGAGCACTCAATAACAGGCACAGAGGTACCAACAAAGCAGATAATCAAAGGATTGCCACAAGGGAGGGGGAAACATCTGATACAGTAGTATTCGATGGTGACTTTAGAGACGACTTTTAGACTCTTCAGGGGTTGACCCATCTCCTGCATCTTGGTGAGCATTTAGTCATGCGCTGGACAGAAACTCAACGGCAGTTTCCTTTTCTTCAGTTAACTCTTTAGCTGTCAAATCCATCTTCTCACGGGAGAAGTCATTAATAGGAAGGCCTTCAACAAGCTTCCATTTTTTATCCTGCGAAGAATACATCAGAAAAATTGGAGCACATCAGATGTTAACTCTACAAGATTTATTTACTGTATAAATAAAATAAAAATTAAATTAAAAAATCCAGTTGTTAGTCCTAACCAGAGTAAACCCATTGAATCAATGGGAACTTGGAAATGCAACATTACATAAGTCTTCATGGTTTACAAGTTTTAATCCAGTGGTTCTCAACCTGTTGGTCCCCAGGTGTTTTGGCCTACAACGCCCAGAAATCCCAGCCAGTTTACCAGCTGCTGGGAATTCTGGGAGTTCTCAACCAAAACATCCGGGGTCCCATAGGTTGAAAACCACTGCTAATCTAACTGGGATTAACCACTGAATTTAGCCATAAATTCTGCAATTTTTTAAAACTTCAAATCCAATGTGAAGAAAATAGGCTAGAAATTAGATTTTGTCAAACTATGTTGTCATTCCATTTTTTGTCGGCATTAAAACAGTATTTTACAATTCAATGAGTTTGACCAAGAAATCCTTTATTTTATTTCATGAATTTCTCCGACAAAGCTGAAGGGTTGTAAAATGAACACAAGTGTTTCAGAAAAGTCTATGACTTGAATGCACATTCAGGGTCTGCGTTTACCAAGAGCGCATCCAACACATCAAGTGCTTTAGGAATAGTATTGAAACAAATAATAAAAAATAGTTTAAAAAAGGAATACTATTGAAACTGCTGCCATGTGGTACTTCACACCCACTGTATTCACAATAAACTGAGAGTGTGGCCCAGCCTGTAGACATTCCCTTTGCATAACATAGATTCAAAGGTGTTGGTGTTTTGTTGAAATACTATGATATGCTATGATGCCTACCCAAATGGAGAAAAGGCATCAGTATTTAAAAAAGCAAGGATCACATTTACATAGAAGGTTCAATAAGTGCGCTTCAAAAAAAATGTTACATACTTTTATAACAACAGGAAACGAATAGATCAGATCTTCCGGGATACCATAAGGATTTCCATCAGAAATTACACCCATGGAAATAAATTCACCCTTTGAAAAGTAAACACAAGAAATTAGGTTGGTGCTCCCTCTGCCCTCTTCAAAACATTAATTCAGACTATGGCTGGAATCCTGTTGTGACGTGTTTCTGTGGCTCAAGTTGTACATCAACTTATAGAACTGCCATGAATTTCAAGGAATACCATATTAGCATGAAAACAATGTTGTGTGTAGTTCTGTTTTCCAAAGTTGTGTAATTACAGGGCAGCCATTCATTCATCAAGCAGACGCAGTCTTCCCTTTCAGTTTTGATTTGTGTCAAACTCAAGGTCCACAGAGTAAATGCGGCTGGCTATGTCATTTTCTGATTTGGCCACAGTAGTCCACACTCTTGCTACATCTCAAATAGACTACTGCAACATGTTCTACATGGGGTTGCCTTTGAAGACTGTTCGGAAGCTTCAAGTAGTCCAACGGCAGCAGCCAGGTTGCTCACCGGAGCAGCATACAGAGAGAGGACATCCCTCCTGTTGTGCCAGCTCCATTGGCTGCCAGTCTGTACCGAGCACAATTCAAAGTGCTGACTTTAGCCTATACAATCCCTAAATGGTTCCGGCCCAGCTTACCTGTCCGAACATATCTTCCCCTATGAACCATCTCGGAGGTTAAGATCATCCGGGGAGGCCCTGCTCTTGATCCCACCCCCCTCACAGGCACGACTGGTGGGGACGAGAGACAGAGGCTTCTCGGTGGTGGCCCCTCGGCTTTGGAACTCCCTCCCCAGGGAAATTAGATCAACTCCCTCCCTCCTGACCTTCAGGTAGAAAGTTAAATCCTGTTTGTGGGATCAAGCGTTTGCACAGTAATTCGCAGTGCAACAACTAATTGCATTTCTCAGTGCAATAATGAACAATGACAATTGGAGTGGCTCCTGGAATATGCTTTTGGACTGTGTGTTTTTAAGTAATTATTTTAAGTGATATGTTTTAATTATGTGATTTTAAAGTTTATGTTGTTTTATTTTTATATGCATCAAGGCTTCGAATTGTGCCTCTGTTGCGAGCCGTCCTGAGTCCCCTTCAGGGTGAGAAGGGGGGGATCATACCCCCTAGGCCTCCCCCAGGCACGACAGACACAGAGCACAAAACATTAGGCAGCTTTTTACCTCACGACAGGGACACTTTGGAAAGAAAGCAGTAGTCAACATACCGTAACCATGAAAAAATAAAGTTAATAACAATAATAAAATTAAAATAAAAATAACAAAAATTGAAGAAAAAAGAAATTAATGCAGTCCAGAAACACTAATCAAAAATGAGAGAAAGATTCCTTAGCTGCTGCAATGGCGGCGGATGAAAGGAACTGAGGCAGTAGCCCCTCCCACTGGCTATATACTCTATGGGGAGGGTGGGCGTGGCTACCGCCTAGAAGTGTCTAATAAGTTTTCTAGAAAATTCCGAACTGTCTGCTCAGACGCAGGAAATACCATATGTGCGATTCACAGTTGACCACGATGGGAAAATAAATAAATAAATGCAGCCATCTGTCTTACTCATCATTAGGCATCATGACTAGGGCTGATCTGAGTGATACAGTAACATTTGTAAGGCTATTGTTTGTTCTGTTTGGTCAGGAGAGCGGTGTTTGGATTTTGAAACAGGGTTTGTGAATACTATGTCTGATGTTAAAATGTCCTTCGACCTTTCCACAACCTCAGACCTACGAGGGCTGTTGGGATGCTATTACCATTATCCCCAGTTCACATGGCAGGCAATAAAAAGTGATGGGAGTTGTCGTTCAATAAAATCCAGGAACCCCAAACTGGGTAAAATCTAAAGAGCACCAATCACTATGTAAAAAAACTATAGTTGGCCCTCTGTATCCATGGATTCTTCATCCATGGATTCAATGGTCCTTTGAAGGCGACCATAAAGCTGAAGTAGCCCTCAATGAAATTTAGTTTGACATCCCTGACCTAGTGGGTAGAGAGCTAGTTAATTGTTAAACAATGGGTGAACTCATGGCCTTAGCAACCATTTGCTGCTATGTTGGAATCTATTTATGCTATGTTGAAAGGGTATAGGAACGTGCATGTGGGAAAAATATTTCAAAAGGAAGGTTCTGCATCTTGCTGTTTCATTATGTTCTTTTAACCAAAGATCAAATTATCAAACTTTTTTTGGCCATATGTTGAACAATTTTAGCATGTCTACCCCACTGTTCATGGAAACATACACAGAACTATCTATTACCGATCAGATATTTGCCCAATATTAACTAAGTGAGCACTAATCGTGAAGAGCATGATCAAGGCCAACGTCTTCATGGACAAGGGGCAATGCTTACCTCTGGAGTACCAAACCAGATGTCTCTCACATGATCACAGATCGCTTTGGCTGCTGACATAGCACTTGACAGCTTCCTGGCCTTAATGACAGCTGCACCCCGCTGCTGAACAGTCTGTAGTATTGACAGATGGAAATTACTGGGTTATTTGTATTTATTACTGTACAAACTCAGTATTCTTAGGAAGCTCAAGACACAGAATGTAACTCTACTATCAAGTTATGGACCAATGACTACCCAATATATACTGAATTGTATAATCTGAAGTCAGAATAACTGTATCAAATCCAGGCTGAATGAGGTCAGGGTTCAGTACAGCTAAATCACAGGAAAACCATTGGATAACATCATGAAACCTTTTCACCTCATGAATACCCTCTTAGAATCAGAGCTGGAAGAGACCTAATGGGCTATCCAGTTCAACCCCTTGCCAATAAACAGGAAAATCACATTCAGAGCACCCCTGACAGATGGCCATCCAGCCTCTGCTTAAAAGCAATACGTAGGTAACAACATCTTGGGTTTGATTCAGATATTGTAAATCTTTATGTTATGGAAGAGGCACAAATACCTTGGTCCCAATCTTCTTACACAGCTTCATTACACAAGGTTGAGTTAATGTATGGGGCAAAACATATGTCCCTTGTGCAAGGTGGCAAAACTAAGATACCAACACTGATCACTTGATCAAATTATTCTATGGAATACAAGTAAATTTCAATCTTTCACTGAAGATAATGCCCCTAAAATATAACTTACTGTGATGAAGTCGCCCTTCAGCCAATTATCATTCTTCACGGCTTCATAAACTCCAACATCTTTCCCTTGCACTTTCACTTTGGCATGGTTAACATCTGGATATTGAGTAGAGGAGTGATTCCCCCAGATAATGCAATTCTTCACATCTTTGGCAGTTACACCAACTTTCAGGGCAATCTAGTTTGATGCAAAAGAGAAAATGTCTAATAACTGGAAAGTGTCCGACGTGTGATCCAATACAACAGCCAGCAGAGTGTCTGCTGTGGACTCATCTTGTGGTGTTTCAAATAATAATAACTTTATTCTTATACCCTGCCATCATCTCCCCAAAGGGACTCAGGCAGTTTACAAATGGGACAAAATGCCCACAGACACACATACAAAAAAATCCATCAAAGCAAAAACCCAAATTAAAATAAAACTTAGGTGATATATATTCAGATAAAAGCACGATTCAATAAAATATAAGAGTATAAAACAGCAGCGTTAAAACTCAATCAAAACAAAACTCAACAAAGTCAATTGCCAGTCAACAGAGCCTCCAACAAATGAATCATTTTTATGAAGCCTTTTATATGTTATTTGTGTCTCTAGTACCAGATTTTCTGTTAAAATGGAATGCTCAGGAACACATCATATTTTTGTTAACCGAGATATAACTGTACAGTACTTTCAAGATAGCTCATATTAAAAGAAAATGATGAGTGTGCTCTGGATATAGACGTCCATTCTCACCTGGGACTTTGCCCTGTTGTGGTCCAGACGAGTTAGACAGCTGAAATTCTCTTTTGGGATGGAGGGAGCAGACTTGGAAGCAATAAGGCAGTTGGTGTTGGCTGGATTGCCGACCACAATCACCTAAGAGAACAAAAGTTAGGCTTAATTACATTAAAGCTGTTGAACGGGTAATTAACAAAGGTCTTTCTATCATGTAAAATTTTTTACACAAGATGAATAGCAATAGTCAAAACAGGAATTTAGTTACCTTGTGAAACACGGCAGTGAGTCACCAGTACCAAGAAAGCATTAAAACTACAGGCAGTAGTTACAAATTTGGGGGAGGGGGTGAGACAATAGGAGGTGAGAGGAAATCTACCCCTAGGAAGAGAAATCCACTCCTGTAAGAACTACCATGGGAAAAAGGTATCTCCACTGAAGCTTTCTGACCAATCTTTGTTTCCATGACATGCCAAATTTTTCAAAATCCAATTCTCACAGGGACAGAAAGTGAAGTGAAAGCTCCTAAACAGGGGTACAGACAGCAAACCATAGGGTGCAGGGGTATTAACCCTTCTTTATACTATCCCAAACTAAGAAAAAAGGTTTTGGCTTCAATTACACATCAAAATGTACCTGTTCCAACATATATACAAATCCAGTTTTAAAAGCAAACTGACAGAACCTGTCTTGTTCTGTATACAGGAACTGCCTGTATACAAATGTGAAGACTGCATTATATGAAACACATGGACTGAAAATATATAATCTAGCTTCTCACACTTTTTTTCAGACATTTTAGAAATGAGAAGCTATACTTATCATGAATGTTCTGGGATGGCAGTACAAGCTATCCACATTACTAATGGGTTAATTTCTGTCAAATTTGATAGGGAGCGTATTAAATAAAATTTGTTTGGCTAAAGAGGGGAAGAAAAAAGTAGGAATATTATCATTAGACATTTTCAAAGCATTTCATTGTGTGGAATGGGAGACATTAAGGGAAATTATGAATAAATTTGGAATGGAAAATAGAATAAAAGGAATTTTAGAACAATATTACTCAAGAAACTCAGCAGTGGTAACTATAAATGACGGAGTGACAAATGAAATAAACGTGACAAGAGGAACAAGACAAGGTTGCCCTTTGTCGCCAAACCCATTCTAATGGATGAGCTGAATAAGGGTGGAATGACTGAAAATGAATTGCATCGACAATTCCTTTGTATAAATATACTGTACATTGGTAAAAAGGAGGGTCCATTAGCAATGTAGGTTTACCTGGCTCAAACTTGCACAAGTTGGGATTAATCAACCAGGTTGCCAGTTCAGATATTTTTCTTGCCGAAATAACGGCAACTAAAAATATCCCCTTAAACTGTAACATCTTTAAAGAAGCTTTTCATAATGGCTAAATAAGTAACTTAATTAATGTGTTTAATACCAAATTTAAGTCCCGCGTTGGAAATCTGTGGACTAGTGGAAGCAACGCTAAAGTTGCTCCTCCTAAAAATCTTTTAAAGTGAGGCTGCCCCAAGAAAGCCATGCATTATATTTAAGTCAACTGATAATGCATCTCTTTTAGTATGTTTGGTCTCAAGCCCTTCTTTAACTCCTCTTGTAAGAACTCCAATGTGTGCATAATCTGAACATTGCCCATTTTAATTATTCTAAATTGGCACCACTATACGAAAGTTTTCCAAGTTCTGTTGTGTAAGTATATTCTGTGTTGATTACCTTGTGGAATCCAGAATATCTGCAATAATATTTGCAGAGTAACCTCATTGTTCTAAACATCTCCTTTTAAAGTCCCTGCCACTAGAGTCAACCAATCTGGATTTGGATGATACACTGGTCCCTGACACTGCAGATCACGCCATTTTAGTAACTGATGTGGTGGATCTATTGCCAATTGCAGTGACTGGAGAAACCATTGCTTTCTTAGTCAAAAGGGAGTTATTAATACTACATGAGCAGAATTTTAAAAGAAATTTCTGTAAAAAAAAATTGCCCATAAAACTGATGTAAAATCGAAGGCTAGTGCACTTGGAATGGAAAAATATTTCTAATTCTTTACAAACAAATCTATGCAAAAGGAATTTCTAAACTTGCTCAACTGAATGTATACTAATCTGTTCCAGTTGAGATAGCCTGCCTGTACATTTAACTTACTCTGGAGAGAAACTGATCTTGACTCAAAAATCCTCTTGGTCTATTTGAACAACTTGTTTGATTCCTGTACTATCATGCGGTCTATCACCCCTTGAGGTGATGACTCCAAAGCATTTATACAAAGGTCATTAAAGCGAACCTCAATGTTTCCAACTCCCCAGATTGTGTATTTTGCTTTTTGTCTGTCACTCTCCACCATCTCTGGCTGACCAAAGCAGTGTGATCTCCAGCTGGTGAAGCTCACTTCTGTCATCACCTGTACTTAGTCCTGATTCAGTAATGGGGGGCCCTTTGCCTACATTCAAACCGAAAGCAACTACATAATGTAACTGTCCAGTGAAGGAGTCACTAAAAAGCATTTAGATGGCTGCCTGTTCAGCTGGCATGTAGGAATTAAGTCATTAGTAAAGTGGATTGCTCCTCTGTACCACCCTGAGATTAACTTTCATGACAATTTCATTGTCCATTTGAACAGAAACAATGTTCATTTCTCAAAATAGTTAATAACTTAGTGTTCTTAATACAACTACTGGCATGTACAGTATATGTAGAGTTTCCAAAAGATACGAAAGCCATCTGAACAAATTTTACAGGAATAAAAAAATGTGTTGAGGATATGCATTCTTTTGTTACAAAATGCAATTTTGATTTGGTACATTCTGATAGTTTTGATCTGTACATAATATTTTACTCCTAGCCAACAATGTGCTGTCATCTTTAGCTATTTTTTTTAAAAAAATGTGAATTTGGTACCTTTTGGAAACAAACTCCACAAATAGAAAATATATATCATCAGAATTGTCTTTTTCTTTCTTTTAAAAAACACAGGTAGATTAGAAAGACATTTCTAAAAATGTTAAATTTGTCCTAGCGTGATATTGATTTGAATTTAAAGTATGTTTTGAATGTTCACAGCACTTCATTTATTATAGCAGTCCTGTAAGGGATAATCAGTAATAGTAATAGTAATAGTAATAGTATCTCTATTGCAGTTGTGGAGCTACCAAATTCTCAAATTCTCATATTGCAGTTCTCCCCCCCCCCCCCCACACACACACATTATAATAGTTTTATTCACCTTAACTGTCTTCTTTGCATACTTATTCAGTGCTGCGCCTTGGGACTTAAAAATTTTCACATTAGCCTTGAGAAGATCTTTCCGTTCCATGCCCTCTTTCCTTGGCATGGAGCCCACTAGGATGGCTACATCAAGGTCTTTGAACGCCACATCTTCTTTGTCAGTTGCAATTACCTCTATAAGCAGATAGGAAGATAACAGTAATTATAACAGACAGATAAATTAATGCTAATATTTTGAGAGGAAAATGTCAACCCTATGGAAAAGGTGTCAATACAGTATTATAATCCATGCTGGCATTAACTGATTCCTGTTTGAATATACGCTAGAACAAAACATCGTTTTCTGCCCGTCTTTTTACATTTTTAAAATTTCCCATCTCCCCCACAGAACAAGGACTGAAAGCAGCTACAAAATTAAAATGTAATGTATGATAGATAAAACATTAAAAACACTGAAAAGATTATTGTTAAATAGTAATTAACATTCAATTTAAATAATCCATTAAGAAATTCAAAAATTAATCAGCAGCATCCATGCTGTCTGAGCAGGCAAATAGGATTCTTTGAGAGTTGAGAACTGCCACATGTATTTGACATTCTTGCCCTTCTGGTTTGTCAAAAATGCTGGAGGGCAATTGGCTGAATGGGTAAAGGCAGTGCTAGAAGTTAATCAAAAGCCAGAACATTTAAAAAAGGGTTCAATCTGTACAGGACGAGGTCACACACTTCCCGAAGACTCAGACTTGCAGCTTAGATGTACTCATGAATTCAATCCTGAGCCTGGGAGCTTAGATTTTGCCATGAATGCTTTTGCACAGTTAAGATTTGTGCGTCAACTCACACCTAGAGATGCCAGATCTAGCTGCAATGAATGACACAAGCTTAGTTGCATCCTGATTCGACTTAGTCCTGATTCGACTAAGGTAATGCCCTCAATATGAGGCTGCTTTTGAAAAGTGTTCAGAAACTTCAGCCAGTCCAAAGCACTGCAACCAGAATGTTAACTGGGTCTGTTTATAGCAGTTGTATACAAGCAGCAGCCCTCAAGGGGTTTCGGACTCCAACTCCCAGAAGTCATAGCCAGCTTGTCCAATGGTCAGGAATTCTGGAAGCTGAAATCCAAAACACCTGGAGGGCCACAGGCTTACAGATTATGTTTCTAACTTTAATTTTATCATCAGTTTAATTACATTTTAATTAAAACAATCTACTCGGAAGACATTGTCAAATGACTCCAAAAATTGATTGTATCTTGCCTTCGTCATCTCATTTTATGAAGTGACTGTTTAGCTACATTTGTTTGTTTCAACTGCTGTAAGCTACCTTGAGTCTCAAACTGAAAGGAATGCAGGATATAAACAAATATGGTGAAGGTAAAGAGCCCTTCATTAGAAGTTGCTCCTGAAAGCTCATCAGAACAAAAAGAGTATTTGTCTGCTATGAGAAGAATAACAAGAAGAGGGTCCCTCTATACTCCTTAGGAAGGTTGAAAGGCTAGGAGAAACAGCAAGAAAACTCACTCTGGTGTTCTCAACAGATAAGAATGGAGCCAAGACAAAGGCTTCAGCCAAAAGAGCTGTTTCATACAGCTCTTCAAACAGCCAGGATCAAAAAATATGCTTTATAGGTAACAACTGGCACTTTAATTGTCATAGAATCATAAAGTGAAAAAAGCCATCCAGTCAAACCCCCTGCATGGCTAGGAAACAGGTCTTTGCAAGCATACAACATAATTTGAATTTTTTACTATATGGGCCTTCTTATGGCACCATAGTAGTTTACAAAATAGATTTTTTTAAAAAAAAAACTGATATAAAATAGAATTCAAACAACAACAACAAACTACAACAAAAAGGCAGAAGAAATTGTGTTGCTACTTATATAAAATAAGCAGCAATATTATCCAGTACCATAAAGCAATTTCATCACTCACTGATCAGTTTACTAGGTGAGTAAAAGAGGTCTTCATCATCAAAATTAGCTGTGCTACAGTGATATATAAAATAATAAATCAGCATGAAACAAGTTGAAATTAGTCTCTCTGTAAAGTAGTACTAGTTCATAATTTAAACATTAAAACTGAATCATCTGCATCACTTCAGCTACAACTACTACTTGTTTTTTTCAGCCACTGAAGATTAAACCTTCTAGGGTTGCACTGACTGCCTTTCAAACCTAGCACCTTGCTCCTTATGTAAGCTGATATCCTTTTACAAAATGGCAACTTGATATCTACAGTATTAAATAATGTTGCAAAACAGTACAACAGTACAGTATCTTATGCTGACCCATTGGCCTATAGACTTTGAACCATAAACATAAAGATAGCATATCTTAGGATCACCCTACTAAATTTTGATATTTTTTCACCTGTTAACAGAGGAAGAGCACAATCTTGCAATTCCATAAGTACACCATCCAATACAGTCATCATGGGAGTGATATCCAACAGAACAAGACTAAGTTGCTGCAGAGAGAAATTGACAAATGTGTAAATTAGTTAACTCAATAAATATCTGAGGATAACAAAGTACAGAAAAATTGACTGTTTCTATAGATAAAACCATATGGATTACCATATAATGAAATATAAAATGCCAACATGTTGAATTCTCATTTACTGTTCTTCACCTGAAACACATACAGCAAGCAGCATAATCATGGAATTTCCCCCCTCCATAATGAAACTTCAGTTCTATTAAAGAATCCGAAGTCAAGTAAGTATAATTCAGTGACTTATTCTTGCCATCTAGGTTTGATACAAGTTTACAAAGTGATCCTTGGATTATTCATTACTACTTACGAGTACAATTAAATTCCTTTTATCTATTACCTGATCTTTGCCAAAGACATCACCCTTAGCAATGCCGTAGAGCAGAGAATAGGCTATCTGTCCAGCAGCACCAGTCACCAGAACTCTGATTGGTTTAGACTGCAATAGAAAAGATATTTTAAGTTTCAGTAATTAGTATCAGGCTGAATTATAGAGTTGGAAGAGGTCACAGGGCCATCTAGTTCAATCCTGTCATGCAGGAAAATACAGTCAAAGCACTCCTGGTAGATGGCTGTTTAATAATTGTTTAATAACTTCCTGAAAAGGAGTCTCCATCACATTCCAAGAAAGCATATCCCACTGCCAAACAGCTCTTACCATTAGGATGTTCTTCCTAATATTTAGGTGGAATATCTTATCTTGTAATTTGAATCCATTGCTTCATATCCTAATCTCTACAGCAACAGAAAACAAATTCCCTCCCCTCCTCAATGTGACACCCTTCAAATATTTAAACATGGCTATCATGTCCCCTCAAAACCTTATTTTCTTCAAGCTAAATATACCCAGATCCCTAAGCAGCTCATAGGGCTCATCTTCTAGAATTTTGATAATTTTGGTTGCCCTTCTCTGGACCTGTTCCAGCTTGTCAATATCCTTCTGGAATTGTGGTGCCCACAACTGGTCACAGTATAGGCGTCATACTCCTATGTGATACAGCCTAGAATCATATAAGCTGCTATATCATAATGCTGGCACATGTTTAGCTTGTGCTCTATGAAAATCCCTAGCTCCCTTTCACATGGATTATTTTCAAGACAGTGCCACCCATTCCATATTTCAGCAAAGTCTAGTACATTTCTCCCTGCTGAAATTCCTTTTGCTAGTTTTGGTCCAGCTCTCAAATCTGTTAAGGTCCTCTGGATTTGGTGTCATCTGCAATTTTAATAAGCAAGCCCTCTATTCCATTATCCGTGTCATTGATTAAGATGTTGTACAGTACTGGGCCTAGAGCAGAGCCTTGTAGCACAACACTGGTTCCTTCTCTCTAGAATGAAGAGAAGCCATTGGTTAGCACTCTTTAGGTTTGGCCAGTCAACCAAATCCCAATCCACCTCATAGTAGCATTGTTTAGCTGACATTTTACTAGCCTCTTTTTGAAAATGGCATGGGGAATCTTGTCAAAGGCCTTACTGATATACTATATCCACAGCATTCCCTTCATCTACCAAACTTGTTATTTTATTTAAAAAAAGAGACAAGGTTCATCTGGTAGTATCTTGTATAGCTGCGTAGGTGCAATGATCTTCAAGGTGACTGTCTACTTAAGACGACCCAAGAATTTAAGTTTTTTTGGGCAAGGAACATTCAGAGATGGTTTTATCAGTTACTTGTTAAATGTATCAACCTATATGCGAGCATGGTATAGACACATAATGAAAATATGTGCTTAAGCACTAGCTGAAGGACACTGAATAGCCAATGACCTAAATTTTACTGACAATCGCATATTAAACAGACCCTTATAACCAGTGGGGTTTTTAAAGAGTTGACTTCCTATTCAGCAGTTGATTCAATGGATTTAATCTACATCCAACAGCCATTAAGATCCAGGTTGACCTTGTAGTCCTAAAATAACTTGAACAAATTTTCTCCTGAAAAAATGTATAGAGTTTTCTAAGTGAAGGGAGAAGAGATTGTGAAAGGAAGTTTGCAGGAGTGAAGAGATGGTAAGATGTAAGGACAAATGACTTCCTAGAATCTAGAAAACAACCAGCAAAAGCAATAAGTATCCCAATCTACAAAACAGTGACATGAATTTGATCTCTATCTTAAAATGACTAAGAACAAAACTTTCCAAATTTTTGCATACTATACAGGAGCCACCATTAAATGCCATAAACCATACTTGAGAGCAGGGAGGGTAAAAAATGGGGCCATAAAAGTAACTCATAACCCCTAGGCTAAAGCATCAGACAAATCAGAAAAGCGAGAAAAAAAAGCGAGTTGCACAGTAACTCAGAAAGAAATGCACAGAAACAAGAAACATTAGGAATAGTACCTGACATGGCCTTGTTTGCTTGCCCAAGATACGCAAGCTTTAGCACTATGGGCCCATTCCAGTTGAAATAGCAGAAAGCAGCCTGACAATGCTAGGGCACATCTTTGCAGTACAGAAACTCCAAGAACAGGCCACAAAGATTGTGTGATCTTTGATACAATCAACAGGGCACAAACAGTATATATTAGATGAGGATAACATGCTATACTGCAATACCTACTAACTACAGAATCACTAGTTGTGAAAAAAAGTATTTTAAAAAGAAGCCATTCCAGTTTTAACCACACAGGGAAAATATTAGTTTACTAGACCTACTAGAAAGGAAAATAACTATAATGAACAAGCTGCCAACAAAAGCAGCTGACGGTTTCTCACTACAGCTGTTTCCCCATAATCTCCAGTACAAGATTTAATCCTGATGATGTCAGAGAACTGGTCTTATTCTTAAGTAAAACCAAAGTAGCATACTAAATACAACACTTTGTAGCATTTTAGACTACACAAACTGGTAATATCTAGCTTTGGAAAGATATATGGATAAATAACATTCCTGCCTAATTGAGTTACAAACTGCAGGTCATTCATTGCTAATGAGGATTTGCCAGTGGTTTCTGCAATTGTAACAGCTTTGTGATTAATATGCAACAACAATTTACTTTATGTCTCTAATTAGAAATTGTGATCAAGTTTCAACACGTTGACATTGCAGATCCTACAAGATATGGAAATGCAACGTGCCTCCTTGAAGAGAAACATCCTAGAGATTCTTCTGCATCACACAGCACACACAGAAAGGTGAATGAGACATTCTCCTTGGGTTAGCCATGCAAGTCCTTCTGCAGCTGTTCCCTCAAGTGCCATACAGCCAAAACCTAGGTTTTTTTGCATCCTTCAAGGACATCTAGTTTGAGACGATGTGCCTGTGTGCTCATGCGCACACCCACTCACCCCTGCAGGCTACCTATGTGCTTCTTTTAATGAGTATAAGCAGCGGCAGATTTTGTAGTTTAGGAATGGTTCTACGCAGTACTAATAAGAGATAGGCCCCTAACATATAAAATCCAAACTATCTGCTTTGATAATATGGGTTATATGGAAGTGTAGAAGGGGCCCTAGAGCAGCTATACCATCTCACTTCAGCTGTAGAGTCAGTAAAGGCTCAAGACTTGTCACAAAACAACAACCACCTAACCTTTTTGTTCCATTTTGTCCCCTATGCTGTTTAACATAATACATGAAACCGCTGAGAGGTCATGCAGAGTTTTGGAGTACAGTTCCACCTGTATGCGGATGACACCCAACTCTACTACTTTCACCTAATGCCCAAGAGGCTGTTCTGACCCTAAATCAGTGCCTGTCATCTGTAATGGACTGGATGAGGGCAAACAAATTGAAATTAAATCCAGTGGCCAGCTGGAAAACAGTCCAGGGAATAGGGATCCAGGCGGTGCTGGATGAAGTTACACTCCCCCTGAAGACACAGGTCCACAGTTTAGGGGTCCTCCTGGACTCGGTGCTCAACTTGGAGGCCCAGGTGTCGGTGATGGCCGGGAGGGCCTTTGCACAATTAAAACTTCCAGATCTGGCCAAGGTGATACATGCCTTAGTTACATCCCATCTGGACTGCTGTAACACGCTTTACATGGGGCTGCATCTGAAGAGCAATCAGAAACTCCAGCTCATCCTAAGACCTGCAGCCAGGTTGCTCACTGGGGCTGAATGCAGGGAGTGGACAATCCCTCTGCTACAGCAGCTCCACTGGCTGCTAGTCTGGCCTTTAAAGCCCTAGATGGTTCAGGTCCAGGCTATTTGGCCAGTCGTATCCCCTGGGCCCTGAGATCTTCAGGAGAGGCCCTTCTCTTGGTCCCACCTCCATCTCAAGCTTCGTTGCTGGGAACGAGAGAGCGGGGCTTCCTTCTTGGTGGCTTCTCTTCCCAGAGAAGTCAGAATGGCCCCTTCCCTGCTGTCCTTCCAGCAGCAGGCTAAAACTTTTTATTTCAGGCAGGCTTTTAAATATGAAGGTGTTTAAGATTGTCAGGGTCTGGTGTGATTTTACATGCTTTTAATGATGTTATAACTGTTTTAATACTGGTATATTTTAAGCTGTATTGCAATGCTTTTAGTTGTGAGCTACTTTGAGTCTCCTAATGGAGACAAAAAGTAGGATATAAATAAACATAATGATAGTAATCACATTTTATTTATTTATGAAATGAAATGTATACCCCGCCTTTCCCCTGTAAAGGGCCCAGCTTGTCTATTTTAACGTTTATTGTACTGTAGGTTGTATGCTGTATGTGTAAAAGGTGTTTGTCAAGTGTTTTGACACAGCCAATGGGCTAATCAATAAAATGTACTACTACTGTATAAATATTAGCAAATACTGTGAAACACTAATTAAAACCCCAATAAAATACATGAAAACCACCCTGATAATACATTGGAAGGCTTTTTGCCTCTTCCTGAACACCAACAAAAGGGGTGCAGATCCAATCTCCCCTGGGAGGGCATTCCAAAGAGAGGAATAATAATAATAATAATAATCATCATCATCATCATCATCATCACAGAAATAATAATAAAAACACAATCCAGAGCAGAAGAGAAAACTGGCAAAAGAAGGCTCCCCATGGACAGCTTCTGGCAAAAATTGAGAGCCAAACTGACAAAATTGGAACTTTGAAAAAGGAGAGGGAGGGCCTGATTATGGCCGCTCAAGAACAAGCCATTAGAACCAATGCCATCAGAGCAAGAATTGAAAAGTCGATGACAGATCCCAAATGTAGACTCTACAGGGAAGCAAATGAAACAATAGATCACATCCTCAGCTGCTGCAAGAAGATCGCGTAGACAGACTACAAGCAGAGGCATAACAACGTTGCTCAGATGATTCATTGGAATTTGTGCCACAAATACCATCTCCCTGCGACAAAGAACTGGTGGGATCACAAGCCGGAAAAAGTTACAGAGAATGAACATGCCAAACTCCTCTGGGACTTCTGGATTCAGACAGGCAGAGTTTTGGAGCATAATACTCCTGACCTCACAATTGTGTTAAAAAACAAAGTATGGATAGTCGATGTTGCAATCCCAGGCGACAGCAGGATTGAAGAGAAGCAACTGGAAAAGTTGACACAATATGAGGATTTAAAAATTGAACTGCAAAGACTCTGGCACAAACCAGTAAAGGTGGTCCCAGTGGTGATCAGCATACGGGGTGCAGTGCCTAAAGACCTTGGCCTGCATTTTAACACAATCAGTGCTGACAAAATTACCATCTGCCAGCTGCAGAAGGCCACCTTACTGGGATCTGCACACATTATTCGCTGCCAATACATCACACAGTCCTAGACACTTGGGAAGTGTCCGATGTGTGATCCAATACAACAGCCAGCAGAGCGTCTGCTGTGGACTCATCTTGTTGAGTTTCAAATAATAATAATAATAATAATGATGATGATGATGATTTTTTTTGTCGTGTCAGGAGCGACTTGAGAAATTGCAAGTCACTTCTGGTGTGAGAGAATTGGCCGTCTGCAAGGACGTTGCCCAGGGGACGCCTGGATGATTTGATGTTTTATCATCCTTGTGGGAAGCTTCTCTCATGTCCCCGCATGAGGAGCTGGAGCTGATAGAGGGAGCTCATCCACCTCTCCCCGGATTCGAACCTGCGACCTTCAGTCCTGCCCGCACAGGGCTTTAGCCCACTGCGCCACCGGGGGCTCCTAATAATGATGATGACAATAATAATAACAATAGTAATAGTAATAATAACAACTAGATGTTTCCAATGAGTTCTCCAGCTAACTGGCAGTTACAGCATAGGATATTGGGCCATTCTGGGCTTGCTTTTGCTACAACCTGCTTCTCATCCAATACTAAGTTAATTTCCATCACACCAAGGACTTGGGAGGATTTAAGTACTCAAGGCCAAGTGCCAGCTTTTCCCACACTTCTAACTCTAACTGCAATCCAGTCTAAGAGCATTCCTAAAGTAAAGGAACTTATGTAGTGATTTGAGCGTTGCAGACCAGGGTTCAAATCCCTGCTCTGCCAGGGTGACCTTAAGCAAGTCAGGACCCTTCCACACAGCCATATAACCCAGAATATCAAGGCAGATGATCCACAATACCTGCTTTGAACTGGGTTATGAGTCCACACTGCCATATAATCCAGTTCAATGTGGATTTTATACAGCTGTGTGGAAGGTGCCATACTCTAAATCTCAGGGCAAGGAGAACCCCCCCCCCCCCCCCCCCCCCGCCGCAATCAAATCTGGTCAAGAAAACCCCCAGAAGGCCTCACTGCAAGCAGGAGGTGAAGCCCATTTCTCTCCCCCCCCCCCTCTTCTGTTCCCCTTCTCCCTCTGTCAGGAGAGAAGGACGTGTCCCTCATTCCTCCCGGTCTTCCCCGCCCTTCCCTCTCAATGAGCCCGGCCCCACGAACCATGGCGACGAGACGAGGAAAGCAGCCGGCCCCACTAACTGATTGACTGACTCCTCGGGGTCACCTCTGCGCTCAGTCACCTCTCCCAGCAAGACGCGAGAGGAGAAAGCGCCGCTCCAAAGGCAGTCAAAAGGGGGCGGAGGAAACCGCCGCGCGCTCACACGCCCCCGCCCCCTCTGGTAGTTGTAGTCTTTGCTCTCACTCCACGAGGCGGCGCTGAGCGAAACTCCAGGCTCAAAGGAACTACCATTCCCACAATGCACCGAGACCGCTCTCTGCTCTCCGTCCGTTAATAGGAGAAAGGAGGGGGGGAAGGATCTGCAATCGATGACGCTTTTGCGCTGTGCTTGACGTAGCAGTCACGCGCTACTTGAGAGGCGGCAGTGAAGACGCATGCGCAAAAGGGGGTGGGTTCTTTGTTCAGTTCTTTCAACTCAATAGAAGACTGTATATATGTATACACTTGTGTGTGTTTCTATTAGTAATTGAATCGGAAATTTACATAATTTTCTATGGCATAGCTTTCATGCAGTTAATTGTAAAATAAAATGTCCTAATCTACTTCAGGATAATTAACACACTAATGCTTTTGACCCCTGTCTAGGCCTCTTGACATTGAAGCAAAAGTGTAAAATAAGGGAATGTGGAAAGGCCATGCAGCCTGATCCTTTGCAGAGTCCTTGGTCTTCTAGGGCGCTACCACACAGCCATATGTAAACAGGACTAAAGACCGTTAGGCCGTTGGCAGAGGGGAAAACCTTTCTGTCCCACCGCTGCCACCAATGTAAGGGTGATTGAAGGACCAAGGTGTCCCTTAACACCTGTGTGACAGGAATTTTGTCACCATCACCTCAATTGTATTGTTTGAGGAAACAAAGGTGTGAATGTGTTCGAGGCAATATGCACCCTGGCTTCAGTTCTTCTTTATTAGCTCCTTGCCTTGCTGACTGGACTGTAAAGAGGTTTTTAGGCTGACTTGGTTTTCACTGAGTGTGACAGACTGAGGCAGACACCAGTTAAAGATAAACTAGGAACAAGTTTATTAAACTTTAAGAATATGTCAACTCATAGAATGAGTGGTACACACGCGTAATTCAGTTACTGAGGCTTTGGCTTATTAGATATGAGACTTCCACAAAAGGTGTAGCTTTAACTTGAAGTGAGTTCTCTTCTCCACACTATTCAACTCTTTGAAACAGTGTGTTCCTGAGATCAGTCCCCCTGACTGTCTCACAGAGTAACAAGACTTTCTCCAGTCTATTCTTCAGGGTAATAAGCTCTCTTGTACTTTCTATTAATACAAGTTGACAAGTCTTCCTCACTGACCCTCCAAGTACAGTAACACTGAAGCCCTTGTCCCTTTCTTATTCCCTGACTGCTTGACTCACTCTAAAGCTTCCTTCTCCCTGTCTAAATCCTACTCTGCTAAAATCCTACTTCTCTGTTCGTTAGAACCCTTCTCTCCTCCTGTCAGAAGTGACAGACTTTTTCACTCACACCCAACTCCTCCCCTTGGCGCTTAAACCAATCAGGAGTCGGCTGACTCCTCCCCTGCTTACTTGCCTCTCCCAAGATGTCAGCTAATTCTAAGCTACTCTCTCAAGATGGAGACTCAGCCCACTGACTCTTAGGCTTCGGCCTAGCCGGCAAAGGTTAGAAGTTATTACACCATACAACCCAGAATATTAAGGCAGCTAAATCCACACTATCTGCTTTGAACTGGGTTATCTGAGTGCCCCTCCAGACAGGCCCTATATCCCAGGATCTTATCTCAGCTTTTCTGTTTATCCCAGATTATCTAGCAGTGGGTACTCATATAATCTAGTATAATGCTGAAAACCTGGAATCGGATCCTGGGATATAGGGCCTATCGAGAAGGGCCCTGATTCCACACTGCCATATTATCCAGTTCAATGTGGATTTTGTACAGTTGTGTGGAAGGGGTCCTAGTTCTAACAGGCGGGGATATTCTGACCAGGCCAAGGTGACTCCTTAGGAACCACTGCCATCTAGGGGCCCTTTCACACAGCCCTATATCATGACAAAAAATCCCACAATATCTGCTTTGAACTGGGGGCATGTCCAGACAGGACCTTTATTGCGGTAACTCCCAAAATAAAGTAGGGGCTGCCCAGACAATGTCTGGAACGTGCAGGATAAATCCACTATTTCCGGTTTGTGGAATACTGCAGTCCAGACAGTATTCCCACAGTTTACCGGGCTAAATAAGTGGGAATACCCACCCCCACCCCCAAGCCTTCAGAGCTCTTATAAAAGTAATAAAAACTTACCAGGCCTTCATTACAAGCCTTGGCTGGCTTTCCCAGCATGTAGAAATAACACACCAGGAGAGTGAGGGGGGAGGAAGGAGGAAAATCATTTCTATGTGCCAGGAGAGACGGACGAGGCTTCTAATGGAGGCCATGTAAGTTTTTATGACTTTTCTAAGAGGTAGGGGCTTGGGAGGAGGGGTGTAGGACCTCCGGATGTTCTCTCGGGCTAGTCCCGAGAGAACATCTGGACACCCACTCCAGAAAGTGCGTGCTTTTTAGGGTGGGCGTGGACAGGCCCCCAGGAAAAACTGCATTTTTTTAAACGCGGATTCTCCTGAGATAAAAGGCCTGTCTGGATCCGGCCTGGGTTATCTGAGTCCACTTTCAGAGAATGTGGGATTTTCTGCCTTGGTATTCTGGGATATAGCGCTGTGTGGAAGGGCCCTAATTTCTTGTTTAGCTCTGAGGCAGATGCTTTCAAAACTTGCCCAGGACACTCTTTTCCTTCAGCACTTTTATCCTGATCCTTTTAAAATAAAGATGTATTTGACCCTTAAGGGCCCTTCCTACTCTACTGGTTTTAATCTATTGTTATATGCTGTTTTAATTATGTATTGTATTTTATATTTTGTGAGGCATTGAACTTTGTTGTTAACTGCTTTGAGTCCCTCCCGGGGGTAGAGAAAAGTGGCGAATAAATAAATAAATAAATACTTTTACTTTGGAGTCTTTGGACATTCAACACCATAGGCGTGGTGTTGCACCCATGGACTCAGGACTCAGATAGCAATAATGTCAACAACAGGCATGTAGCCGGGGGGGGGGGGGGGCTCATTCTCATGGTGGTTCGCGAAAAGGCCTTACTGGTGCATTATTTAAACTGTTATGTTTATGCATATCATGATCTGATCACTATACTCAATATATCCCATATGCATGGGGGTATTGGGGTAATGATAAAAAGGTTTGCTAGGGTAGACCCTCTTTCACTCAGACTCAGCCCCCCCCCCCAAACAAACTCAGCCCCCCCCCCAATCGAACTCCTGGCTACAGGCCTGGTCAACAATAAAGATTCTTGGGACCTGATGGACCTTATTGTTTGTCCCTTGCTGGGACCACACAATCCAGTCATAACTCATTTCTACACCTTTGTCTCCTGGACTGACTGGCCCGTCTCCATCCATTGGACACAGAGTGAAATCTGCATCGGAAGCAGGGAATGCTCCCTGATTGGCTGACAGGTGTTGCAGTCCCACCTCACAGAGGGAGCCCCTCCCAACTGGTTTTATGGAGGCTGGCATTTGAATACACGAAAAGGAAGACAAATATTTCCTTTAAAATAACCACAAGGGGAATATACTAAAGTAGATATAAGGATAGATTTTATGAGATGTGAGACTCACAGTGAATAGTGTCACAGTCATGGGTGGTGGGTTCACGGGTAAGAGGTAAGAGGGGAAAGATTGTATAGGATATTGCAGTTAATTATTTTGGAGGAACAACATACCTGCATTAGATGTATTTGACTATCTCTAGATATTTTCCCTTTTTATATTTTGTATCTCATTAATTTAACTAAATTAAAATTATATATATATTTAAATATATCTAACCTTTCATCCTCCATGTGTTTTACTTTGTGAAATTCTTGACCACAGTTTGAGAAGCATTGGTCTAGGCATTAATAAACAATACCTAAAGTCCATGCAACGAGAGCTGTAGGTTATGCTTGACACAAAGGAACTGGCTAAACCACCTGTAAGTATTTATTCTGTAATTCATGCCAAACGTCTACATGTACTTGAAGGCACATAAGCACACACAGCGTTTGCAATTTAGTGCTGATGGAAAAGCTTTCACATTCCATCAGAGGACACAAAGGACATGAAAGCACTGAGGTGTACACCCAACACTGGTTCCCTTTCTTTGATTAACACTGAGAAGAAGTCAAGCACACTTCTGCATCAAATGGCTTTTTGGAATCCTAGAGTGCATCTACAATGTACAATGAAGCTAGTTTGATATGCCTCAATTATATGGAACCATGATAGTAGTTTTGCAAGGCAATAGCACTCTTTGACAGAGAAGGCTGGAGGGCCTTGTAAAACGACAACTCACAGCATTTATTTATTTATTTACAGCATTTATATTCTGCCCTTCTCATCCCGAAGGGGACTCAGGGCAGATCACAGAACACACATACATGACAAACATTCAATGCCATTAAACAGACAGGACAGACAACAGTTAGAGATATTATGTCAGCCTTTTTTTCCAACTTCGGCATCCTGGAGGTTGTGTTTTATTCCGGCCACAGGGCACAGCCATTACGAGGATAAAGAAAGGATTGGAATCTCAGCAAGTCTAATGAATTTCAAAACAGTTCTTTATTGTGAAAGAGGAAGTAATTTCAGTCTATCTTCTGTTTTTGCCATTATGGGATACTGAAAAAAAACCCCACAGTGTATTATTTATACCTCAGTCTCTGGATGTTGGTCATGGGGGTTCTGTGTGGGAAGTTTGCCCCAATTGTTGTTGGTGGGGTTCAGAACGCTCTTTGATTGTAGGTGAACTATAAATCCCAATCAAGGTCTATTTCCCTCAAACTCCATCTGTGTTCATATTTGGGGATATTGAATATTTGTGCCAAGTTTGGTCCAGATCCATCATTGTTTGAGGCCAAAGTGCTCTCCGAATGTTGATGAACTACAACTCCCAAATTCAAGGTCAATGCCCACCAAACCCTTCTAGTGTTTTCTGTTGGTCATGGGAGTTCTGTGTCCCAGGATTGGTTGAATTCCATAATTGGTGGAGTTCAGAATGCTCTTTGATTGTAGGTGTACTATAAATCCCAGCAAATACAACTCCCACATTACAAAATCAATTTTTGAGTGAAGGACATACATTGGGTTGTTAGGTGTATTGTGTCCAAATTTGGTGTCAATTTGTCCAGTGGTTTTTGAGATCTAGGGAAGTAATGCTACCCCTCTATTTCACTTTAGTTAGACCACACCTGGAATGTTGTGTCCAATTCTGGGCACCACAAAATTGAAGAGAGATATTGACAAGCTGGAATGTGTCCAGAGGAGGGTGACTAAAATGATCAAGGGTCTGGAGAACAAGCCCTATGAGGAGTGGCTTAAGGAGCTGGGCATGTTTAGCCTGAAGAAGAGAAGGCTGAGAGGAGATATGATAGCCATGTATAAATAAGTGAGAGGTAGCCACAGGGAGGAGGGAGCAAGCTTGTTTTCTGCTGCCCCGGAGACCAGGACGGGGAGCAATGGCTTCAAACTACAAGAAAGGAGATTCCATCTGAACATGAGGAAGAACTTCCTGACTGTGAGAGCCGTTCAGCAGTGGAACTCTCTGCCCCGGAGTGTGGTGGAGGCTCCTTCTTTGGAAGCTTTTAAACAGAGGAAGGATGGCCATCTGTCAGGGGTGATTTGAATGCAATATTCCTGCTTCTTGGCAGGGGGTTGGACTGGATGGCCCATGAGGTCTCTTCCAACTCTTTGATTCTTTTTTTTTTTGTCCTGTCAGGAGTGACTCCTGGTGTGAGAGAATTGGCCGTCTGCAAGGACGTTGCCCAGGGGACGCCCGGATGATTTTGATGTTTTCTCATCCTTGTGGGAGGCTTCTCTCATGTGTATGAGGAGCTGGAGCTGATAGAGGGAGCTCATCCGCCTCTCCCCGGATTTGAACTTTGACCTGTTGGTCTTCAGTCCTGCCGGAACAGAGCTTTAACCCACTACGCCACCGGGGGCTCCTTTGATTCTATGATAATCCCACAAACCAACATTACATTTTTTATATATAGAAGATATACACAAATATATATACACAAAAAACACATATACAGAGACTGGGCCACAGTAACGCGTGGCGGGGGACGGCTTGTGTTCCGTAACTTTATAACTTTTAAGAATATATAACGTACTCAAAATAAGTATTTTTTTACAGTTGCAAGTAGGACACAACTGTGCTTCCCAATTCCACCCATTCCAGGTTGCCCCTTGGAGGGAGAAAGCGCACAGTAGTGAACGCTAAGGCAGGCCTGAGAGAGCCTCACTCTACAATGGCTCTCTCAGTGAACGCTAAGGCAGGCCTAAGACAGGCTCAGTCTGCGTAAGGCTGAATGATTCTTTCTGCGCAGGCGCGAGTGAAGCTCTGGCAAAATAGGCGTGTCCTCTCAGGCAGCCCCGACGTTTCCTTGCGTCGCTGGTTGCCAAGTGACGAGAGGAAAGCGCGCGCGGTATAGAAAACCATTCCAAGGGACGGAAGCCCAGAGGGGACTATTGCCGTTCCACAGCGAGAGGGATATTGAGAAGGGGAGCTCTGAGGGGTGTCCAGACGGGCAGGTAGCCGCGCGACGAGGCCGGTGGTAAGTTCCTTAGCGCCTGACAGACTGTGTTTATCCTATTGTACTTGTTGCTTGTTTAAAGAGAGGTGAAGGTAGGGGATGAAGCCTACTAAAGGAGTTTCATCCCCGCCTCCAGCCCCAAATCCAAGGAAGCATCTGCACAAAGAAGTTAACGCAGTTTGGCACCACTTTAACAACCATGGCTTCATGTTGTAGAATCCTGGGAGTAGTAGTTTCACCAGCTTTAGTCTGCTCTGCTCAAGGCAAACTACCAAACTANTGCAGCAGTTCAAGGCGGTAAAGGGATTTAGAAAGGAAATTATTTTTCCCCTCACTGAGTCAAGAAGAAAGGTACTTGTAACAGGACAGAAACAGAGTACGTCTCAGGTATTAAAGTGGCGACAGAAAACTACATATGTGGTGTGGCATTACATATTCAGTTATGTGCAATGTTACGCCCCACACCCTCCTTCCCTATCTTGTGATGATGTTGGCCTTGCTTCTGCGGCTCTTGACTTTGCCTTTGGCTGGAAAATGTCTCGAGTAGAAACTAAAGGGCTCCCACCTGGAGCCACCTGACCTTTGGCTATCTCGCTCAAGAACAAAGCATCATAATTTAGCCATAGAATTTTAATGTTCTTTTATTTTTCTACCAATGAAATGCATGAGTGTTTTAAAACTAAGATTGTCTACAGAAAGGAATGTCAAATGTGAGAAACGCAGCTCATTTGTTGAAGGCAACATGCTTGAGATGTACCAACCTGTTTTTAAAACATATTTCTCCTGTTTTTCTTTTATTCTCTGTGGACCTTGAAAATAAATCCCTTTCCCTCAATCACAGCATGCTTTGCTTTTGTCTTTGTCATATAAGAAGTCAATTAGTCATGCAAAGTTTTGTTCGGTTTAAATGCATTGACAATCTAGTTTGTACACTATGTTTTAAACCAGGAGAGATCCTCTCCGGAGTTCATCCCTAATGCCAGTGACAATTCCTGTTGACAATGACAGTTCATTGGAAAAGATTCATTGTAAATTAACTCATAAAGAACCACCACGTTTTGATGTCTGGAAACCTAGCTTGATCACCTGGTGTCCCGAAAGAGGAAAAGTCTTCTAAAGGAGAAAATTCCTTCTGTCCTGGGCCTGATTTTTGAGAATAAGACCTCTTTCTCCTTCCAGTCCTCATACTCTGAGGTGCAGCTTCATGCTTAAGAATCAAAACTGATACCATTTCTTGTCCTTGTATTTCACCATTACCTGCAGGAAAAAATAACAGAATTTGGGTGACATAGCTGGAGGGGGGGGGGGGTGTTACCTCACCACAAAATACTGAGGGAAGCATTCCTAGAGCCGCCTCCCATGAACAAAGGTAATGGTAACAGTTGTAACACTATGGTTCCTTTTGTACCCTAAAATGTTGCTACATGGGCCGTCACACACCCACATCTGGAGTGGATTGGTAGTTGCCATAGGTTATTCAGGACTAGAACACTGGTCTCCTAATGAAATTAACTTTTCTAAGTAGGTCTTCAGCACTGGTAGATAAGTTAAAGCAACACTACAGAGAATACCTTACTTACAGTATTTTTGGTTTCCTCATATTGAAAGTAGAGCTAGTCCAGATCTTCTTTGATACCTCCTTTACTTCTACTTATTGGCACTATTCTTCTCAACGGTGTCTGCCTACACCACATTATTTATTTATTTATT